CATGTTAAAACCCAATTCAAAAGGTTATTGAGTAAATGAGATTTGGCCATTTCAAAATAGATTTGGCCATATTTTTTTAAAATATGTCATTTGGCCATTTGAAGCAGCACTTAAAACCTTGACCCACACCCTGAATTTGATAAACAAGTTACTAAGTAAATGAGGTGCTCTTTCTTACTACCTTGACTCACAACCCTTCGAAAAATTTGGGAATATCTCAAACCCAATTCTAAATCGTATTAAAGGGTTTTTCAACATTAAAACAACATTTTCCAACATCAACATTAAAACAATATAGAAGCATATATTGTTGTATCATCCATTGTTAGTTGGACTTTGTAACTTCACCCATTGAATTTATGTGAAATTATAAATTGTCTTGCATATTTTCATAATATTCAAATATTAAATTAAATAAAAAGTTGTTTCAAATTTTTTTATAAGATAAATGTATGTAATATGATGGTGTATACTTAATCTAAGTTTTTCTATTTGCTTTTAAATTTTTTTGGGGAATTTGACCCTTTTTTTTTAAAAAAAAATCTACTTGACCGGTTAATCTGGTTAACCGCTCCGGTTAGTCCGATTCCGATTCAAACCGCTCCCAGCCTCATGACCGGTTAACCATTCTGATTCGATTTTGCGAACATTGGAACTGCCTACCAATCACTCACAATTCTTTTAAAAGAGAAAGTTTGAAAGACGACTTTTCAAGAACTTTTTTTTCTCTTTACGAATATTAATAATTATTACTGATAATAAGAGGTTACAATGGTTACAAAGGAGAACAATTGATAGAAGAGAAGCGCCATACTTAACCAAAAGAATCAGCCAAGTTGTTAGCGTCCCTATAAATACAAAGGAAAGAATCAGGGGCATGGCTATATCAAGGATCCGTAACTATAAAGATTTGGGCTCCCAGGGCGCTCTATGCTCTTTCTTACACCATTGTATAACATTTATAGAATCTCCTTCAATTATGTAATAAGTACCTAAATTTTTACTAATGAAGATCTTCAAACTATGAAAGAGAACAAGTAATGCAGTGTGATTGGCCGTCGCTATACCAATTGGACTTCTATAAGTGAAAATGATTGCCCCATTTCAATCTCGCACTACCCCTCCAAACTTAGCCAAGCCTGGATTGCCAGAGAGTTGCTGTCAAAGTTTAGTTTGAACCCACCTAGATCAAGAGGGATCCAAATAGCTCTAGGCTGACTCCTGATAAACTGCGTTCTATACACTTAACCTGAAAACATTGGACAGTCCCACTGCATTCTATGCACTTAGCAACCTTGAGATATTATTTTTTTCCTACGATTTGGAATGCTTATCTTACTTAGGGGTCATTTGGATACTTGGAAATATATTATCTGTGAAATATATTACTGGCATAATACATTATTGCACAATACATTACATGCAAATGGATTGTTACTGTTTGCTATGTCTGGAAGAAATACATTGCTACTGTTTTGCTATGTCTGAAAGAAATATGGGAAATGTATTACCAAAATTTTATCAGCAATTGCCTATAAACTATCATTTCAGCATCATGTATCATACTCTGTTTAGTGACACATAAATTATGCTACCAATAAATGACTTATAGTTGGTAAGATTACAACTCACCTTGATTATAAATGCACCGAAATCATATTAAAGAGTATCAAAACAATTAGCTGTTGTTCATATCATATATAACCTAAACTCCAAAAAAATTTCCTAAATTGTAGAGAGAGAGCCCATATCAAGATTAAGAAAAAGAGCTCGAAAAACTCAAAAGAGAGATTCCCAAATGATGAATCAGACAAAAATCTCGAAAAAAATTCCACAGATAGATACCCACGTACAATAAACAATTATCATATAACCAAAACCCCCCAAAAAAAAAAAACGATTGACCTTATAAAATAAATATAGATAACTACTGTGTGATAGCCCATGATCAAGATTTTTGAAACCTTTCATAATTAGTGATTTTATTAAACTAAATAACAAGAACGAGCCAAATCAACCTATAACTTTACTAATTTTATGGAAACTAGAGTAACAAAGAACGAAACAAATCAACCTAATCTTACATGCTCAAATCAACCCCTTTGGCTTGTAAAATGTCTATTGTTGCAAGAATCGTTTACCCACCAAACCCTACTTTTATAGGGCATTAAAAAAAATGAAAGCCCAAATTTTTTAGGGCAGATTTATGTCATAGAAAAATAGGTAAAACCCTAATTTTTTAACAGAGAGTGAGAGAGAGAAAAATTGCTCTTACTTAGACACGGTAAGAGAGACAGATGCTGACTTCGAATAGAGGTGAGAGAGGTTGCTCTAAGAGAGAGAGAAAGACAACAGTTATGCTCGTTGCTCCGAGAGAGAGAGAGAGATATCAAATTTGCTCACAGAGGTTACCCACACGGCTTGCTTGTAGTGAGAGAGCACATAGAATGGATGCTAGAAGAGGGACAGAGAAGGGGGATGCTAGAAGAGGTTAAGTTAGCAGCGAAGGGATTTAGGGAAATAACGCGTAAACAATTACTCGTCACGCCCCATAATTCATTTCTTAGCTTTCACACATGCAGTAGTTTTCAATATATATGGGGAAATGATGCATAATCTATTTTCATTTCCTTACTCTTTAAGTGTACCCAAACACTGAGAATGCTAGATTTCCTTGTAATCTGTTTCTTTGTAATGGATTTCTAGGTACCCAAATGACCCCTTAGTCTTAAAGAGGTTACATCACCTAAATTAGAGTCTCTAATATTAGGGGTCGATAACAAGTTATGTTAACCTGACATGTGTCCCACTGCTGAACGAACTTCATAATCCACAGAATCAACATATTGAACTGGAAGGTGTGATGCTTGGCATTGATCTGCCCCTACTTGTGATGAATCACCTACCCTCGACGTATGGGTATGGTTTTGCTACTGTAGACTATGGCTCCGATCTACTGGTGCCCCCGCCTCTGCTTCTTCTGCTCATGGCCATAGGTATGTATTCGGACGGGATACTAGTGTTGCTACTCCTGCTTATGCTTATGGACCTGGATTGGGTCGGGGTCTAGAAATAGGATCAAACATTAAGTTAGGTCTAGGTTTAGAATGATCTAACTCGAGCTTACCCGAATATTTTTGATGTATTATTTATTTTATTATAAGACTATTTTCTATTATACAAGCTACTATTATCTCGTTATATTTTTTGTATGCTACATGATGTAATTTTTAATATAATGT